GCTGGGATCACAGGAAATGGAGGATGTGGCAGAAAAGGCTGCCAGGAACTGTAGGGTCAGACTGGACAAGTTTAGTGCCAGGGTGAAGAGTATGGCTCGAATGCCAAGGCAGAAAATTCCAAAACAGGGAAATGACATAACTGCCATGAGAACCCTGCCAGGGCAAGTGTTTGGATGCCTCTTGGGATGCCCACATCCCACATCAGAGGCATGGGTTCAAGTCCCGGCTCCTCAGCTCCTGATTGCAGCTTCCTGCTAATGCACACTCTGGAAGGTAGCAGGTGGTGACTCAGTGTGGATTCACCCACACGGGAGACTGAGTTCCTGGCTTCTGGCTTCAGCTTGGCCCAGACCCAGCTGTGGCAGGCATTTGGGAAGTGAACCATTGGATAGACGATCGAGCAATCTCCCTCTCTCTCTCTCTCTCTCTCTCTCTCTGCCTTTCTAATAAAGTAATAATTTTTAAAAATAAGGAAAAAAGGCCTTTAAAAAATTACCAGGGGCTGGCACTGTGGCACCCAGGGTTACACCACAGTCTGCAGTGCTGGCATCTCATATGGGCGCCAGTTTCAGTCCTGGCTGCTCAACTTATAATGGAGCTTCTTGCTATTGTGCCTGGCAAAGCAGGGGGAGATGGCCCAGATTCTTGGGCCCCTGCACCCATGTGGGAGACCTGGACAAAGCTCCTGGCTCCTGGCTTTGGCCTGGACCAGCCCTGGCCTTTGTGGCCATTAGGGGAGTGGGCCAGCACATGGAAGCTAGCGCGCTCTCTCTCTCTCTCCCCTTCTCTCCATAACTCTGCCTTTCAAGTAAAAATAAATTTAAAATCTTCTAAAAAATTAATCTTGTATGTAGGGTGGTTATATGAGAACACATTTAAAAATTAGTGGAAAATGGAATTAAAAGATGTTTCTTTTGGTGCAAAAAAATTTAAATCCATGCATTGTTTTTTCAAGTAAGCATTTTCCTTAAACTTTTTTTTTTGAGGTTTGTTATTCATTTTAAAAACAGAGAGAGAGAGAGAGAGAGGGAGGGAGGGAGGGAGGGAGAGAAACTGACTTCCATCCACTGAAAGGCGCTTGCAACAGCCAGGGTTAGGCCAGGCCTAAGGCAGGAGACTGGAACTCCATCTTGGTCTCTCAAGTAAGTGGCGGGGATCCAAGTATTTGAGCCATCACCTGACACCTCCCAGGGTGCGCGTTACTGGGAAGCTGAATTGAAAGCAGAGCTGGGATTCTGTACCAGGCACTCCTGTATAGGATGCGGCATCCCAAGTGCAGAGCTAGCCCACTGTGGCCTCACACCGACCCCTTTCCTTAAATTTCCTGAAGATCCCTCTATATGTGGGTTTCAGCTTTTCTATGGCACCAAAGCAAATTTATCTTTTAATTCCATTTTCCACAAACTTCTGGAATTCCCCTCATATAAGAATCAGTAAGTAGACTGGTGATAGTAACAGAATTCATGGGGAGAAATGAATGGAGGATTAGGTGTATAAGTTATTTTTTGTTGGAGAGAGTGAAGTGTGTTGCAGTTGTTTTCCGTGTTTTAATTTATTGTAGTCATTTATAAGTGAAATGCAAATGTATTCATTTTTCATTATAAATGTTACACTCATCCTAGGAAATTTGAGAGATAAAAATAGAGGTTAGAAAATGATATTGCGGGCCGGCGCCATGGCTCAGTAGGCTAATCCTCCGCCTTGCAACGCTGGCACACCGGCTTCTAGTCCCAGTCAGGGTGCCAGATTCTGTCCTGGTTTCCCTCTTCCAGGCCAGCTCTCTGCTGTGGCCCGGGAGTGCAGTGGAGGATGGCCCAAGTGCTTGGGCCCTGCACCCCATGGGAGACCAGGAGAAGCACCTGGCTCCTGCCATCGGATCAGCGCGGTGCACCGGCCACAGTGCGCCAGTCGCAGCGGCCACTGGAGGGTGAACCAACGGCAAAGGAAGACCTTTCTCTCTGTCTCTCTCTCTCACTATCCACTCTGCCTGTCAAAAAAAAGGAAAGGAAAGGAAAGGAGAGGAGAGGAGAGGAGAGGAGAGGAGAGGAGAGGAGAGGAGAGGAGAGGAGAGGATATTGCCCTCAGTTTTTCCTGCACCAGGATAACCACTACTGATATTTTAGTATATTTCCTCTGAGTCTTCTTTTTAAGTGTCACTTTTAATGTGGTTTTGCCTGTTTTTTTTTTCTTTAAGATTTATTTTATTTATTTTAAAGACAGAGTTACAGAGAGAGGTAGAGACAGACAGAGAAAAAGGTCTTCCATCTGCTGATTCACACCCCAAATGGTCACAACAGCCAGAGCTGAGCCAATCCAAAGCCAGGACCTTCATCCAAGTCTACCACGTGGGTGCAGGGGCCCAAGGACTTAGACCATCCTCTGCTGCTTTTCCAGGCACATTAGCAGAGAGCTGGATCGAAAGTGGAGCAGCCAAGATTTGAACCGGTGTCCCTGTGGGATGCCAGCACTGCAGGCTGAGGCTTTAACCTGCGGCATCACAGCGCCAGCCCCTAGGTCTTTTTTTTTTTTTTTTTTTTTAGATTTATTTATTTGTTTGAAAGTCAGAGTTAGAGAGAAAGAGAGAGAGATCTTCCATCCGCTGGTTCACTCCCCAGATGGCTGCAATGACCAGGGCTGAGCCAGGCTGAAGCCAGAAGCCAGGAGTTTCATTTAGGTCTCCCAATGGGTGCAGTGTCCAAGCTCTTGGGCCATCTGCTGCTGCTTTCCCAGACACATCAGCAGGAAGCTGGATGGGAAGTAAAACAGTCAGGACTTGAACCGGCACCCGTATGGGATGCTGGTGTGGCAGTCGATGGCTTTACCTGCTATGCTACAACGCTGCCCTCCCCACCCTGTGTTTTGCTATACCTAGTTATATACATTGTTTTCTTGTTTTCCTCACATAGTTGTGATTGTTATGAATACAGTTTTGGGGGCCTGACGCTGTGGAACAGAGGGTTAAATTCCACCTGTGGCGCCAGCATCCCATATGTGTGCCTGTTCTGGCTGCTCTACTTCCAATCCAGCTCCATGCTGATGCACCTGGGAAAGCAGCAAAGGTGGCCCAGGTCCCTGGGCCCCTGCAGCCACATGGGAGACCCAGAGGAAGCTCCTGGCTCCTGGTCTCACTCTGGCTTAGTCCTGGCCATTGTGGCCATTTGGGGAGTGAACCAGCAAATGGAAGATTCCCTCTCTCTCTCTCTCTCTCTCTCTGGCTATGCCTTTCAAATAAATAAATAAAATTTAAAAAAGAATACAATTTTGTAACAGTTTTTCACTTTACACAGTCTTATTGTCTAGTGAGAACTTGTAGTGGTTAAGAGTATAGACCCTAGACCCAGACTGCCCAAGTTCAAATCCAACACCTGCCATCAGCCATCTGGGTGACAGCCTCTCTGCACCTCAGTCCCTCCATTATAAAATGGTAGTAACCATGGTAATGATACCAGAATGGTTGGGACAGTTAAATGAGTTAACATTTAGAAAGCTTTTAGCATCTGGCATATAGTATCTCTATGTGTTGGGCATTTTACTAAGCAATTATAAACATGTGTGAGATATTTGGGAGTTTTTTTTTTTTCTCAAAACGAAAAGTAGGTGAATTCACAAAGAATTATGTTGTCATTAGGCCGGCGCCGCGGCTCACTAGGCTAATGCTCCGCCTTGCAGCGCCGGCACACCGGGTTCTAGTCCCGGTTGGGGTGCCGGATTCTGTCCCGGTTGCCCCTCTTCCAGGCCAACTCTCTGCTGTGGCCAGGGAGTGCAGTGGAGGATGGCCCAAGTGCTTGGGCCCTGCACCCCATGGGAGACCAGGAGAAGCACCTGGCTCCTGCCTTCAGATCAGCCCAGTGCGCCGGCCGCGGCGGCCCTTGGAGGGTGAACCAATGGCAAAAGGAAGACCCTTCTCTCTGTCTCTCTCTCTCTCTCTCACTGTCCACTCTGCCTGTCAAACGAAAAAAAGAAGAAGAATTATGCTGTCATTAACATTTACAGGAAAGCAGGAAGAATGGTTTTGGAGGCAGCAAGGAATCTATCTATCTATCTATCTATTGATTAGAATAATCTATTGATTGAATCACATTGAAGTCCAGACAAAAAACAACAGGTGGAAATACCTTGGAGCGCTTGGAAGTACAGAAGAGAAGTTGGGAGCAGACATGGATTTAGGGGCTATCTGCCTAGAGGTGCCAGATGATATAAGAAACAAGGTCACTAAAGGGAAAGGAACTGTTGAGCTGAAAACTGAAGAGATGTGTTTAGGGGTGCAGCTGGGTCACAGGCCAGTTGAAATACAAATGTATTTAACATTTGAATGAAAGCGGGGCAGATGTCATGGCCATCTAAGAACTTGGAGCTTGTAGGTATTTCTGCATGATTTTTAAAACTTGCCTAAGATATGTGGTTGATTCATATATGAGGTAAATTGATGTTATTTATAATTTTTTATATTTAAAAAGGTTTTTCAGAATAGCTGACATCGTACATCATAGCCGATTATCGATTACCATAGTACCCAGGATATAAGGTTTCACCATTATAGTTGCAAAGGTGACTAATCACTCAGGTTGTTGAAGCAATTATTTGATGAGGTTGAGTTTTTAACAGATGTCGACAGCACACCTGTGTTCCCTCTTCTTTTTGGAATATTTTATGAATTGTGTCACAGGGAGCCTTGGTGTGAATTCCAGAACCCTGCAGGAAATGCCGGTCCCAAGCGTGATGTCCCCTGTGTTGCCACAGCCCTTGCTGAGTAGCCCCATGCCCATGTCTTGTTGACAACCTGTTATAGCATGGCCTGGATCCGAGATCCACTTGGCCCCATTCCCACCAGTGGACTAGATGAGGCCCCCACCAATGGGGTGCAGGGTGCTCACGATGGCTCCTTGGGAGTTCTGGACCCCATCAGTGTGGTGGGTCCCAGGTGAGGGTACCCAGTGTTGCCTGCACAGTCACCCTTTTGCCCCGAAGGGAGGTTCTGACTCATTTCTCTTCTCCATAGGAATGCCTCCAGACCATGGAAAATGTGTGAGTCAAGCAACACACAGTGTCATCTTCCAAAGACAAGATGGAAATAGAGGTTCGCTTGAACTTTTCAGATGTCTGCTCTACATGATGCCGACAGCAAACACTTGGAATCTTGAGTGGACTCAGCACCGTATGCACGGGACATGTTATGAGCTCCTTATAAATGTTGAATGAGTGCACAGAATACAGCAAGTAGGTTCCAATGACATTCTAGAAATTCAATATTGATAGAGAGACTAAGCTGAAAGAGTAAAACTTAAGAATTAAATTAATTTAATGGTAATTTAAGACTTGCTATTTACTGTATTTGGAACAAATAATTAAGTAAAGTCAAAATATCATCAACATATGAACCTTCACTAAAGAATATTAAATGAATCACAAATCTAAAGTATGCAACAGCAAACATTTTTTTCCGATAGATTAAATGACAAGATATATTAAAAAGTGCTTCACTTTTTTTTTTTAAGGTTTACTGATTCATTTCAAAGGCAGAGCAACAGAGAGGGAGGGAGAGACAGAGAGAAAGAGATCTTGTAACCTCTGATTCACTCTCCAGATGCTCACAACAGTCAAGGCTGAGCTACACCAAAGCCAGAGCCTGGAACTCCATCTGGGTCTCCCACTTGGGCCATCTTCTGTTGACTCCCAGGTGCATTAACAGGGAGCTGGATCAGAAGCAGAGCAGCCAGGACTCAAACCAGCATTCCAATATGGGCTTCTGGCATTGCAGGCAGCAGCTTAATCTGCTGTGCCACCATGCCAGCCTCCTTTTCTTTCTTTAATAGTTCCATTGAAGTCCACTCGCCATACAATAAACTTCATGCATTTTAAAATACACAATGTATAATTCTTGATACAGGTAGACACCCTTGAAGCCATCAGTATGTCAGATAATGTGTTCATCACCCTTGAAAGATAGCCCTCGTTGTTTTGTAATTCCTCCCTCTCACCCTGTCCACTCTCTCCCCAGGCCCAGGAAACCTCTGAACTGCTTTTTGTCACTCTTGATTGTTTTGCATCTCCTAGAATTTATGTACATATACAGAATGGTCTCTTCTTTGGGTTTTTTCACTCAGTGTAATACAGTGCTGCTGTGTGTGTCAATACTCCACTCATTTTAAATGCACACCTGCTGTTCCATTGGGTAACTACGCTGCAGTGTGTTTCTCCATTTATCTGTTTGAACATTTGGTTTGTTTCCAGGAACAAAGTCATTCCAGAGGCAGGTGCTGTATCACAGCAGGTTAAACCACAGCTTGGTACACCTGCATCTCATATCAGAATGCCTGGGTTCAAGTCCTCACCACTCTGCTTGCAATCCAACTTCCTGCTGTTACATGTCCTGACAGGCAGCAGACGATGGCTCAAGTAGCTGTTAGGTCTCTGCCACTCCTGCAGGAGACCTGCATAGAGTTCCAGGCTCCTGGTTTTGGCCTGGCCCAGCCCTGATTGATGAGGGCATTTGGGGAGAGAATCAGCAGAAGGAAGATTCCCTCCCTCCCTCCCTCCCTCCATCTCTCTCTCTCTCTGTGTGTGTGTGTGTGTGTGTGTGTGTATTGTTCTTGAGAAAGCAGTTATATATTTATTGTTGGTGTAGCATGCTTTCCAGTGTGGTTTTACCATTTTTCATTCTTACCAGCTGGGTATGAGAATCTCACTTGCCCCACATCCTCTCTAACACTTGGTGGATCAGTAAGTTAAATTTTAGCCAGTCTAGTGGGCATCACATTGGGGTTTTAACCTGTACTTTGTCAATGACTGATGATACTGAATCTTTTCATGGACTTTTTGCCATCTGTGTATCTTTCTTATTTATTTATTTATTTTTGAAGATTGATTTATGTTTTCAAAAGGCAGAGTTACAGAGAGAGGAGGGGGTGGGTGGAGAGAGCAACAGATTCCATCCAGGGTTCGCTCTGCCAAATGGCCTCAATGGCTGGGACTGGGCCAGGCTGAAACCAGGAGCCAGGAACTCCATCCAGGTTTCCCATGCAGGTGGCAGGGGCCCAAGCACTTGGGCCATCCTTCGCTGCTTTCCCAGGCACATTTTTTTTTTTTGACAGGAAGAGTGGACAGTGAGAGAGAGAGACAGAGAGAAAGGTCTTCCTTTTGCCATTGGTTCATGGCCGCCACGGCTGGCGCGCTGCGGCCAGCACACCGTGCTGATCCGATGGCAGGAGCCGGGTGCTTCTCCTGGTCTCCCATGGGGTGCAGGGCCCAAGCACTTGGGCCATCCTCCACTGCACTCCCTGGCCACAGCAGAGAGTTGGCCTGGAAGAGGGGCAACTGGGACAGAATCCGGCGCCCCGACCAGGACTAGAACCCGGTGTGCTGGCGCCGCTAAGTGGAGGATTAGCCTAGAGAGCCACCGTGCCGGCCTTCCCAGGCACATTAACAGGGAGCTGGATGGGAAGTGGAGCAGCAGGGACTCAAAGCCATATGGGGATGGCTTTAACCCACTATGCTACCATGCCAGCCACTATATATATTCTTTGGTGAAGTGAATGTTCAATTATTTTGCCGTTTTAAAAATAAAATTGTTAATTTTCTTATGATTGAGCTTTAAGAGGTCCTTATGTGAGCGTACTTCAAAAAGCTCCTGGAAAATGGAATTAAATGATAAGTTTGCTTTGGTGCAAAATATTTTTGAAATCCACTATTTCATTATATGCCTTTTTTTGCTTTGGAAAGGGCCCTTGTAAATTCTAGACACAAAACCTTTATCAGATTTGTGGTTTGTGGTTTGTTTTTTTGTTAAGATAACAGTGTAATTCGGCCGGCGCTGCGGCTCACTTGGGTAATCCTCCGCTTGCGGTGCCGGCACACCAGGTTCTAGTCCCGGTTGGGGCGCCGGTTCTGTCCCAGTTGCTCCTCTTCCAGTCCAGCTCTCTGCTGTGGCCTGGGAAGGCAGTGAAGGATGGTCCAAGTCCTTGGGCCCCTGCACCTGCATGGGAGACCAGGAGAAGCACCTAGCTCCTGGCTTCGGATCAGCACGGTGCACTGGGGGGTGAACCAACGGAAAAGGACGACATTTCTCTCTGTCTCTCTCTCACTGTCCAGCTCTGCCTGTCCAAAAAAAAAAAAAAAGAAGAAGAAGAAGAAGAAGAAGAAAACAGTGTAATTCAAAAAGTGTAAGTTATTCATTTTGATGCATTTCTATTCATCAGTTTTTTCACTTTATGGATCATATCTAAGATATATTTGCCCAATCTAAGGTCATAAATATTTTCTCCTAGAAATTTTCTTTGAGAAGTTTCTGTTTTATGCTGTATCTGGTTATAAGAGCTGTTCTGAAGGAATTTTTGCATATGTCGCATGGTGTGAATCAAAGCTCATTTTTCTGCACATATTTATTAAATTATTCCTGCACTATTTTTGAAAAAAAAAAAACTTTCATTTTATCATGCAATTTCCCATGTGTTTTGTTGAAGATTTACTTCAAAGTGTTTACTTTTGGGTTCTGTTGCATTCTACTGATCTACCTGCTTGATTATGCTCTGTTTTTATTTTTTTTTTAAAGATTTTTTAAGATTTTTTTATTTATTTGAAAGAGCTAACACAGAGAGAGAAGGAGAGGCAGAGAGACAGAGAGAGAAGGAGAAGCAGAGAGAGAGAGTCTTCCATCTGCTGGTTCACTCCCCAATTGGCCACAACCACTGGAGCTACACCCATCCGAAGCCAGGAGCCAGGAGCTTCCTCTGGGTCTCCCATGCAGGTGCAGGGCCCAAGCATTTGGGCCATCTTCTACTGCTTTCCCAGGCCATATCAGAGAGCTGGATCAGAAGCGGAGCAGCTGGAATTCGAACCGGCACCCATATGGTATGCTGGCACTGCAGGCGGCGGCTTTTACCTGCTATGCCACAGTGCCCGCCCCAATGCTCTGTTTTTATTCTTTAATTTACAAGTTTTGGGTTTTTCTACTTTATAAGAAAATGGAAAACTTCATTTCAGGGACAAGGGTATTCTGTGTTCTGTTAGGTGCAGTCACGAGAGGAGACAGAGTTTATTATACTCACAGGTGCTAGAGATGGGAGGAGTGCCACACCACGCAGGGCAATAATCATGAGTATGCAGTGGTGTCCTGTGGTACTTGATTTACAGACTTGATTGGCCCAATTCTTCCCTCCCAGTTGTTTACCACATTCCCTTAGCTGTTGAATGTCTGACTTCCCTCACACCATGCTGGACATGTGTCTTCTTTGCGTGAGTCTCAGGGGAGGGTAGACTCGCCTCCTCCTTTGGAGTCAGAAGTCCACAAACTTTATCCCCTGGCTTCTCTTGTTGCTGGAGCACAAACTGGGCTTGGCCAATGAGATATGTGGGTTCAGAATCTGAGATGGGGGTTGGCAATTTGAAATACAAGACTGAGCATGTGTGGACTGGGAGTGCCCTAGTTTGTGCTGTGTTCAGAGACGTGAACATCACCCCATGATGTGAACAAGCCACTCAGTGAGGATTAGGTACCAGCCTCCCAGCCTGGTGAAGTCCACACATTTCTCATCTGCTTTTATCAGCTACGGTTGGTTCTAGTGCCTGGGACTAAGAACGACTGATACACATTCAAAAGATTGGAACTTTGCAAAATCTCCAGGGAGTGCAAAAAGCTACCCCATCTCCCACCTCTTGTTGAAGAAGCAATGGTTAAGGTAAGGAGTGTATTCAGTCATTGGCTTAGTTCCAGGTGACAAGGTTCTTAGTTTCGTGACCTTGTCCTGGATTCTAGAAGCTTGTAGGGAAGTCGATTTTCCATCTTCAACATACGCCCTTGTCTTCCACCTGGAGGCTGAACAGGACAAAGGGAGTTTTTATGGGTTCTTCTGTTTACCTAGTATTTAAGCCATAGTTGGTAATGAGAGATGGATCAGAAATTATTACAGTGTGTTTGAGTTGCATAAACTCATCTGACCTGGCTTTCAGTCTGCATGGCCCTCCACTGTAAGTCAATAGAACGTCGTAGTGTGTGTTTCCGGCATTAACTTTCCTCTGGCCTGAAAACAAGTCTTCGCTTGGCCGAACTTTAGTCAGTCTCTTGAATCTTATCTCAGACCCATCTGGCCAGTTTAGCAAATAGCTCTGCAAAGTCAGCTTAGCCAGAATCTGCGGCCCTCCACCCCCCAGCCTGGATATGCGAGCATCCTTGGTATCTGCTCAGGGCCCTCGTCCTCGTCATCTCCTGGGTCATATCTAATCAGGCTGGCCTGTCTTCAGAAAGAGTCTTGTCAGGTCGGTCTAACCAGAATACCCCTCACCACTAATGGTTCTTCTTAGGAATTTTCCATTCATGACACTTACCTTGTTCCTTGGCTGTAGGTTCCTTCCTGTCAATTCTGTATTCAGAGATGAGACAATCTCTTCTCCACTGGGAGACCATATGGCAGTGGCCTCTATACCTACATGAGGATTCTGAGTGAAATCTTCCTTACCATGATTTTTTTAAAGATTATTTATTTATTTATTTACTTGAGAGGTAGAGTTACACACAGTGAGAGGGAGAGACAGAGAGAGAGGTCTTCCGTCCGTTGGTTCACTCCCCAGTGGCCGCAACGGCTGGAGCTGCGCCGACCTGAAGCCAGGAGCCAGGTGCTTCTTCCTGGTCTCCCATGCGGGTGCAGGAGCCCAAGGACTTGGGCCATCTTCCACTGATTTCCCAGGCCACAACAGAGAGCTGGATTGGAAGAGGAGCAGCCGGGACTAGAACTGGTGCCCATATGGGATGCCAGCACCACAGCGCCAGCCCCAACTGTGCTTTCAAAGTATCATTGATTTGTTTTTTTCTTTAATAGGCTTCATAGTCCTCTTTATTTTATCTGTGTAAATATTTTATATACCCCTTATTTTATTGTAGAATGTATTTTCTGCAACTTGCCTCATATCCCTTTGGAGTGGTACAGGTTAGAAGTATACACATAAGAATATTAAGTAATGTATTTCTTTTTTAAAAATAGATTTATTTACTTTTTACTTACTTTGAAAGGCAGAATCACAGAGAGGCAGAGGCAGAGAGAGAGAGAGAGGGAAAGAGAGGTCTTCCATCTGCTGGTTCACTCCACAATGGCTGCAATGGCCAGAGCTGGGCCTATCTGAAGCAAGGAGGCAGGAGCTTCTTCTAGTCTCCCACATGGGTGCAGGGGCCCAAGCACTTGGGCCATCTTCTACTGTTTTCACAGGCCATAGCAGAGAGCTGGATCAGGGTAAGAGCAGTCAGGACTTGAACCAGCGCCCATGTGGGTTGCCAGCACTGCAGGCGGCGGCCTTACCCACTATGCCACAGTGGTGGCCCCAGTGCTGATTGAATTTCCTGTGTGTGACTGGAGTCGAAACTTCTGGGCTCAAACTCTGAATGTGGCACTTACTAAAGAAGGGCCCTAAGCAAGTTACTCTTTGTCTCTCAATTCCCTCATCTGTGAAATGGGGGACAGTAACAGGATTGACGTGAGGCTTAAAAGAGATCAACAGTGTTGACCTAACTATAGGATTGATCTGAACATTGAGAAAATTACAGTTGGGGCTGCCGTTGTGGTGTAGTGGCTAAAGCTGCCGCCGGCAGTGCCACATCCCGTATGGGCACCAGTGCAAAGTCCCAGCTGCTTCACTTTCCAACCAGCTCTCTGCTGTGGCCTGGGAAATCAGTGGAAGATGGCCCAAGTCCTTGGGCCCCTGCACCCACGTGGGAGACCTGGAATAAACTCCTGGCTCCTGGCTTCAGATCTGTGCAGCTCCAGCTGTTGCAGCCATCTGGGGAGTGAACCAGCGGATGGAAGACTTCTCTCTCTCTCGCTCTTGCTCTCCCTCTGTTTCTGCCTCTGTAACTCTGTCTTTCAAATAAATAAATAAATCTTAAAAAAAAAAAAAAAGAAAAGCAGGTAATGTCGTTATACAGTGCCTGCTAGGAAAAGGGGTTTTATTTATCTATTAAGTAGGAATAAAGGCCGGCACCGTAGCTCACTTGGCTAATCCTCCGCCTGCGGCGCTGGCACCCCGGGTTCTAGTGCCGGTTGGGGCGCCGGATTCTGTCCCGGTTGCTCCTCTTCCAGTCCAGCTCTCTGCTGTGGCCCAGTAAGGCAGTGGAGGATGGCCCAAGTGCTTGGACCCTGCACCTGCATGGGAGACCAGGAGGAAGCACCTGGCTCTTTGCGGGGGTGAACCAATGGAAGGAAGACCTTTCTCTCTGTCTCTCTCTCTCAATAACTCTGCCTGTCAAAAAAAAAAATAGGAATAAAACTTACAGGGCTTTATGGACATTAGATTACATAATCTCAGAAAAGCATTTGTTAAGTGCTGGTGTAAACCAAAGGGCTCATCATATTATATCGTCTCCCTTCCTTGCTACCATCACAGACATATGGTGGGTCAATCTCGGCTTCAGAGTCCCAGCGACAAACCTTACACTTACAGATAACACACGACATTGGGACGTGCAAAGCTCCTGTCCTGTGGGCAGTGTCCAGTGATTCCTGGGCTCAGAACCAGAGGGCTACCTTTGAGCAAAAGTGAGAGACGGGAGAGAAGCATCAGGGAGCAGTGTCTGTGCACGAAGAAACAGCAGGATCCCAGGCAGCCAACGGTGCAAGTGCAGGTTCATTCCTTGTGGCAATAAAGACCGCAGGAAGTTGGGAACAAGAGTTGCTCAGTGTGAGGCGGCAATGCCAGTTCTGGAGAATCTGTTTCCTAACAGGGGAAGCAGCCCGCGTCCAGACCCCTGGGGGCCGGGCTGGATTAAGGGGATCGTAGGATCCCAGCTGAGCAGGCTGGGGATCAGGCCGGATGCCAGTCCTGGGCAGGATATCATGCACTGGGCAAGAAAAACAGAGCAGAGGCCCAGCCCTGAGAGCAGAGGCCAGAGGAGCAGGGCGGGGGAGTGGGGCTCCCCTTTTTTTCTCCCTCCTCTTTTCGCCCCTCCCTCCCATCCTGTCCTGTTTCCTTCCAGGTGCTCAGGCCAAAACCACAAAGCATCCTTGACTGTTCTTTTTCTCTGACACCCCAGTTCTCTCCTCAGCAAAACCTTCTACTGTGTCTAGAGTTCCACTTGCTGCCACCATCCCGCTCCGGACACCTAAACAAATACCTCCTAATGCATTCTGATGGAATCCTTGTGAGGCTGCGTGAGAGAATGCTAGTCTGTTCAAGTGTGCTCCTGGCCTGTTTGTTTTAATGGTCTTTGGTGACTACATTTCTCTCTCTTTCTCCTGTGTTATTTCTTATGTGGAACTGTAAAGGGCCGTAACAACGTTTTCTGGGTTAAATTATTCATTCTTATTTCTCTGGTGATGCTGGAAGGACAGGTGGTTGATAAGAGTAAAATAAAAGGTAGTAGGCATTTGATGGTTAAAACACCACTGGCATGCTGGCATCACATACAGGAAAGCCTGGGTTCAAGTTCCTGCTCTGTTCCTGATTCCAGCTTCTTACTAATGTGCACCCTGGGAGACAGCAGGTGATGGCTCAACTACTTGGATCCCTGCCACCCACCCAACTTGGGGCACACGGATTGAAATCCTGGCTCCTGGCTGCAGCATGGCCCAACCCTAGCTGTTCCTAGCATTTGGGGAATGAACCAGCAGGTGTGATGTCTCTCTCTATTTCTGTCTTTCAAATAAATACAAAGTAAATAAGTAATTTAAAATAATAAAGGCCTTCCCAAATAAAGTCACTCAAAAGAACCATTTGTTCGCAAAGAAAATGCAGATTTACTCATACATAATTTCCAGAAGAAATTCAATATGACACCAATGTCCAGAGATAGCTACTTAAGATTCTTATCTCTAAAATTTATTTACCTGAAATATCATTTGTTTTTCAACTATTAAAAAGTATCTCCCAAGGTCATGGATTTTTAAGTTACTGTTTTGCAATTCTCCTTCTGTTTTTACAATGCGATTTTCAAAGAGCTCAGCAATCATTGGGGACATTGAGCTGAGAGTGGACACCCTTGGGAGGCTGGCAGCTCCGGGGGCCAGCTTTGGGGCCGACTTCCGGCTGGCAATTCTTGCTTTGATTTGACCTTGCTGATCAGCTTCTCTGGCTTGCCCGGCTACAGGCGCAGCTTTCTTGAGCTCTGCCCCTGACTGAAGACTGAGAGCCAGATACCAGCTTGAAGGATTAGAGGTAGAACCTGAGTTTGCAGAGATTTCCAATTGAAGGGCTCTGAAGGGAGCTTTGTCACTAATTAAATGAGCAACTCCTGGCTGCTTTCCACCAAGGTGCTGCTAACTTTCCTTGGCCTTTGAGGGTTTCTAACATCACCTGCAATCTCATCGAAACTTTAGTTTTCCTTTTGTCGCTTTCACTCCTTTTCAAACCTGTGGGTGTCTTTCTCATCTGTGTTTTGAGCCTATGCAAGGAATGTATCTGTCTATAATGACTTTATGTGACCTGGAAAATGGTGTGTCCTTACCCCATTGAGTGTTTTCTCTTTCCCATTAACTGTTTTCTTCTTCTCACCCATAGATCTTCCCCCGGGGAGTGGGAGTTTGGTGGGTGGGACCCATAGTTATTAATGCACAGGGTGTGTGACCTCTGCTCCTGGAGGAATGTGACGTCACATCGGCCTCTGCCCAGACTTCCTAAGTCTCTTCCCAGGATGTCTTTTCTAAAGGTGACTGTGGGGCCTGCATAAAGCCGCTGCCTGCAGTGCTGACATCCCCTATGGGTGCTGGTTTGAGTCCCAGCTGTTCTACTTTCTATCTAGCTCCCTGCTAATGGGCCTGTGAAAGCAGAAGACAGTCCTAGTGCTTGGTTAATTTCTATGAGACCTCAACTCATTTTTACCATCTCCACCAATGGACAGGTGGTGAGGGGCCTGAGCAGATTGCATCACCAGCAGGTTGGCATTTGGCAAGGCGGCCATAGAGCTCACAATGAGATTGGAGTTCCAAGCTCTGGCCATACCCTTGGAATCCTCGCCTATGTGTGGGGTTTGCCCTGTGAGTGAAGCTCCAGGTTCACTTATACTGATGGCCAATGAGCTAATGAGCCGACCAAAGGATCACTAAAAGAGAAATTCAGCCCGGGTTCTTTTTATTAATATATTTTTAAAAGCCATTGAATTTTTAACTTAATTTAAAAAATGTTTTATAGGTTTAATAATTTTTTCTTCTCCACTGTTCTCAGAAGAAAAGCAACAGGGAATGGATCCATAATGTGATTTGGGCACTGTGAGATTTAGAAATTTTTAGTATTTTACTAAACATTTATCCATATCCACTTCATATGTAGATATTCTATACATATACATACAATTTTTCTTGAAAGCAGGTATACTTGGGCCATCTTCTACTGCCTTCCCAGGTGATAGGAGAAAGCTGGATTGGAAATAGAGCAGCTGGGACTTGAACCAGTGCCCAAATGGGATGCCAGCTCTGCAGGTGGCAGCTTTACCTGCTACGCCACAGCGCCAGCCTTGAGAGTATGTTTTATTCATTTAAAAAAGTTCCAGGGGCTGGCGCTGTGGTGTAGCGGGTAAAGCCGCTGCCTGCAAAACCAGCATCCCATTTAGGTGCCGGTTTGAGTCCTGGCTGCTCCACTTCTGATTCAGCTCTCTGCTATGGCCTGGGAAAGCAGTAGAAGATGGCCCAAGCCCTTGGGCCCCTGCACCCATGTGGGAGACCTGGAAGAAGCTCCTGGCTCCTGGCTTTGGATCAGCCCAGCTCTGGCCGTTGCGATCACTTGGGGAGTGAACCAGCGGATGGAGGACCTCTTTCCCCTTCTCTGCCTCTGTAACTCTGCCTTGCAAATAAATAAATAAATCTTTTTAAAAAAAAGTTCCATTCCAGGTACAGACTATGGAAAAGGCCAGTTACTCAAGAGAGATTTGTTGAACTGAAATGTGGAAACTGTAGAGAAGTTCTAGCAGATTTTGAAATAACTAGTGGTTCTATTATTTTAGGGTCCTTCAGCTGACCAGAAAATAATTCTGAGCTTGTTTTCCGACCCAGAAAAGCAGGCACCACCTGCTGCCTCTTCCCTTGATGACAGGAGGGACCTCAGTCCAGAGAGTTCCTGCTCAACATGGTCTGAATACGTTTAATGGCCCTGTGTGTAGTCCTAATACTTACAACTGCTTGAAACAATTACAGTCATCTGCAAGCTACTATTTTATAAGACAAGCCTACTAAATATTGATATAATACATGATAATTTTTATTACTGACACTTTAAAAATTCCTACAATCTTACAGGAAACATGGCTTTACTCTAGCCTGTAAAATGGCAAACTTTAGGCAGCTGAAATCACATGGGACCCCATTTTAAAGGAAAGTCTCAATTTATTTCCTATTATTTTCATAAGCAGTATAGAGTATGTGCACAAACCATAGTGTATGAAAAATAATGTTTAATACTTTTCTATTAAGATATTTAAGAGTTTGGTGCAATGGAATATGATACAACATGTTTGGTCTTTACATAAACAAAGATAATTCATTGATTCATTGGAAATTTCAAAGAAAGAACTTAGATTTCAACATATACATGGATAGATTTCAACATATCCATAGTTTTCAACAGTCATCTCTATATTTAGCAATCTGAGATAGTTAAACACTGCATATTCTAAAGAATTCCCAAGGGCATGACACCATACCAGGACTGTGAAACTCTGAGGGGAATCATGGTTCTAAACTGGGTGCTGTGCTCCACCCTCAGGGTGCAGTGCAAGCTGTACATATCAAACCTGTCCCAGCTTTTGCACGCTGTTGTGATGGGACTAATAACAATATTATTTTCCCTTGCTTATTGCTTTTGTCAAAACTAGCATTATACAGTTATCAGATTACAGGACATTATCTGATTCATAATGTGCTATTTTAATGTGGCTTTTGAATTATTTCCCATTAGTTGTAGGACTCAAACACAATTTTGTCTGAAAGGGGACAGATGAGAAACTCAGCTCTTTCATTTGCACTAAGTATACTTAGTGTTTTAAGGAATCCTGTAAAGGCACACACGGACCCTAGTACGGCTTGCTGAAGAAGTAAAAGAGCTTTTTTTTTAACTGACTGGTTTCTGACCACCCAAATAATTCTCTACTTAGAACTGATGCTCCTGGCCAGCGCCGTGGCTCACTTGGCTAATCCTCTGCCTGCAGCGCCGGCACTCTGGGTTCTAGACCTGGTCAGGGCACCGGATTCTGTCCCGGTTGCTCCTCTTCCAGTCCAGCTCTCTGCTGTGGCCCGGGAAGGCAATGGAGGATGGCCCAAGTGCTTGGGCCCTGCACCTGCATGGGAGACCAGGAGGAAGTACCTGGCTTCTGGCTTTGGATTGGTGCAGCGCACCGGCCGCAGCACACCGGCCATGGCAGCCATTTGGGGGATGAACCAACAGAAAAAGGAAGACCTTTCTCTCTGTCTCTCTCTCTCTCACTGTCAAACTCTGCCTGACCACTGACCACCTGCAGAAAATAAAATTCCAGGAGCTCAGGGTCAGGTCTACCATGCTGAGACCTGACACCTGATAAAGCCCAAGGGCCTCATACCCCACTCCGACCCCAAACTCCTGCCCGCTGGTGGTCACAGACTGAGCTTCTAGCTTGCCAGGAGTTACGGGAAGACCTGTGCTCTGGTAGACTGGGCTCATTTTCTCCTGTGTCACGCTGCTGGCCTTAGGTAAGGCTGGTGGGCCTCCCTGAGACTTGATGGCTTCAGGAACTGTGGGACCCAGGATGACCAGCCTGGGGCCAATCTGAATGGCCTGGGGGCCGTCTTAATCACCCTCATCCAACCTTGAGGGAGACAACAAGGACTATTTTGGAAATCAGCGAGGGGCTGGTAATAGGTGCAATGCTAGGTAGCTCCTAATGGTTTCTATCCCTAGGCAAGTTCCTGTGGACATTCTCATGAGACAAATTTGTTTTGGCATGTTTCACCATCAACTTCTCCTCATGGGCCTGCGTATATCCCTATGATTGTACAGGGCCTAGAGACTATGAGACCGAGTTGTAGGCCACTTAGGGCATGCCTGAGAAGCTGAGGCCTGCCTCCATCACTCCTACAACCTTACACAGACAGCAAGAAATCATAGGATTGTTCTGGAACTCAGTGAGAGGTTAATGAAACCTAGCATTGAGCAGATCTGAACAGTACCAGTGCCCAGGCCTTGCTTGCAGACAGAGCCTCTATACCTGTTTTGTGCCCAGTAGAGTTCTGTGATCCTGAATCATCAGCATCTGATAGGTTTATATCAGGCAGTGAGCCCACACCAGCAGGAAGACAGACCATGACAGAGTGAGCCTTGGTCCTACCTCCTCAAGGATGCGCAGGTCTTGGTGGGCTGTGGGCTCAGGATGTACTCCAGTAACATGGCATTTGTGGAGAAAGGATGAGGAGTCAGTCAGAGCCTAATGCAGGCCCTTCGAAGGCATTTCCCTATTCTACACTGAATCACACATCAACTGCAGATTTGAGACAAATTTGAGTTGGCACTAATTTTATAGGACTGAATCAGCAAAAACACATCAAGAGTGGATGGGGTGGGGAAAACTAGATAGCATAAGGTGCTGTCTAGTGTTAGATAGCAAAAGTATCCACAGGCTCGGAGGATAAGCTGCTCAGAATTTAGGACAGTTAACAAAGGAAGTCAGGTTACTAAAACTAATCCTCCAATGTGCAGATGACGTCACACATCAGTAAGAGCCAAGAACTTCCAGGGAACCATGACCTCACCTAAAGAGCAAAATAAGGTGCCAGAAGCCAACCACCTGGAAGTTGAACCTTCTAAATGCTCAGATGAACATTTCAAAATCTGTTGCCAAGAAACTCAGTGAAACTCAAGAGTACACGCATAAATGATTCAATATTCTGACAGAGATTTGGTAGAGATATGGAAATCGTTAGACAAAAATCAAGCAGAGATCCTTCAGCTGAAAAGTACACTAAGTGAAATTAAAAATGTGATAGAAGGCATCAATAGCAGAACAGATCAAACAGAAGAAGGAGTCAGGGAGCCTGAAGACAGGCTCTTTGAAAAAGTGTTGGATGAGAAAAAAGAAAAAAAATCAAGAGGAATGAAGAAAACTTATGGGAAATGTGGAATAGCATGAAAAGAGCAAATGTTTGAGTTACTAGGATTCACGCGGGACTTCAGAATGTTAGAGTAGAGAACATATTCAATGAGATAATGACATAAAACTTCCCAAACCTAGATTAAATATAAAGAGAATACTCTCAAAGCTGCAAGAAAGAAAGAAGCAAATAATACATAAAAGGGTTCTAATTTCTCTGACTACAGATTTCTGAGCAGAAGCCTTACAGGCCAGGAGGGAATGGGATGAAGCTTTTATGGTGTTAAAAGGAAAAAATTGTCAGCCAAGAATACTGCATCTGGGGGCTGATGTTGTGGCTGATGCTGCTTACAATGTCCCCATCCCATAATGGAGTGCTGGTTGGAGGCTCAGCTGCTCCATTTCTAATCCAACTTCCTGCTAATGTGCTTAGGAAGGCAGTGGAAGATGGGCCTCTGTTACCCATATGGCAGACCAGGATGGAGTTCCTGGTTCCTGGCTTTGGCCTGGCCCAGCCCAGGCCATTGCATCCATTTTGGGAGAGATGAGGAGTCAGAGCCTAATGCAGGCCCTTCGAAGGCACATCAAGAGTGGATGGGGTGGGGCAAACTAGATAGCATAAGGTGCTGTCTAGTGTTAGAGATAGAAGATCTCTCTCTCTCTCTTTCGTTTCCTCTCTGTCACACTGCCCATTAAATAAGTAAATCTTTTTTAAGAATGAATGCTGTGTCTGGCAAAGCTGTCCTTCAGATATGAGAGACAGATAAAGACGTTCCCAGACAAACAAAAGCTGAGAACATTTATCACCATCAGACCTGTCTTGCAAGAAATGCTAAAGGCAGTTCTTCAAACTGAAAGAAACTGATGCTAATAAGTAAGAACAAAATATCAGACGGTAGAAAACTCACCTTCTGTTAAGAGTAACTAAAGAAACAAATTCAGAATGCCCTAATAGTGTGATTTTGATGTGTAAACCATTTAAATATTTGCTGTGAAATAAAAAAAAAACACAAAAACTAAAAACTATAATGTCTACATTAAAATGTTAAGAGACATGCAATACAGAAAGAGGTCACATGTAATGTCAAAAATTCAAAATGTGGGGGAGGACTGGAACACAAATGTGGAGTGCTTTATTAGGATTTCTTATCTATTTTCTGTTTGTCTCTTTCCCTGTCTTTATAACCAGTGTTGT